AACCCTTGGGCAGCCATCTGAGGTGAAACTATTGGTTTCTCCCCGTCTGGAGGAAAGAAGACTGATGGAAACTAAAGCTGCAGGGTATCAATTAGTTCAGTGGACTAATGGGTCACATGACCCTGAGACCTTAAACTCCGTCCTGCCTGGCTAGTTACAACTGCTCTGGAAGGGATCACATTAGAAGGTGCTGAATAGAGTGGGAGAAAGTGTGGAACAAAGTTCAAAATAAAAAATAACCAGGTTTACTGACCAGGTAGAGACTAGTGGAGCCTCCAGGAGTGTTTCCCTGACACCCTTCAGGTTTAGACACACACTCACCCCTCGAATAACTTTCAGCCAAGCAATAGACTGGTCTAAATGAGGAGAAACGAGTGAGGTATGCACACCATAGAATGGTTAAGTGTTTGAGATCAAAGGGGAAGTATTTACCCAAGGACAAAATTCAGAAGGATTGGAAACACAGGAGGAATAGAAACAAGAGACACGGGAGAAAACAGAATTCATCATGTCACATGAGAGGGATTGCAATCAGTAAGATGAAATGAAATGTATAATTCAATAAATGTAAAAATTGACAATCTGCTCGGTAAACATTCACCCAATTCCCAATAAAAATAAGTGCACACATAAAGAACTAAAAGAAACAAGGAAAGGACAAAATGAAGATCTGAAAAAGGTGATGTTGCAACTGCAAGGAACTATAACTGAATGAGAAAGTCAATAGGATGTACCAGCAGATTTAAGCAGGTGGAAGGAAGAATTATTAGACTAGAAGAGAGGAAACACAACAGAAGCTGAAGCGTACCGAGAACCAACCTTCAAAAAGGCTGAGCAGTTTAGTGTAACTATGCAATGAGAACCCTGATGATACATGGTAGAAATTCCAGAAGAAGAGACAGTTAAAGGAACAGAAAGTATTGAAAGAAACAGTGACAGAATATTTCCCCAATCTGACAAAGGAAACTACAAATCCAAGAACATCAAAAAACTCCAACCAGGATATGTCCAAGGATAAGACATGGTAATTAGGCTTGCGAGAAGTGACGCAAGAGAATCCTGCAAGCCGTGAGAACAATCACATGAAGCATCCTCAGTAAGACTAAGTGACAGTTCCCGTAGAAAACTTGGAGGCCAAAAGGCTATGGAATGAAACTCCTGAACTTAAAAAAATAATAATAATCAAGAATACATTACACATTGTTAAAATTATATGTTCCTGAGTGTTTTTGTGTATATCCCCCTCCCCCGCCAAAAAAAGGGAATGGAAGCAAACTAGGACCATCAAGGAAGAAGAGCATGAGTGGAATGTGACACCCTATCCAGAGAAGCCCTGACACCAGAGATGGAGGCAGAGATGACATGGAGAATGGGAGCAGCTGAGGACTCCAGTATCATGGAAAGAGAGGGACTTAGAGATGGCGGCCAGGAGGCAGACTTGCAGAATGTGCCCTTTGGTGGTGTAAATTATTACATATTCTTGAGGGTTTTTGTGTATGCCCTCCACCCCAACCCACCCCCCAAAAAACCTAGAGAGAATAGAAGCAAATACTGTTAAATAATGATACATGGAGGAGATGGTAATCTTTGCACTGAAACAATGAGAGTAAAACCAATCTTCTCCCTTGTAAACGATCACTCAATTCACAATAAAAACTTTAAAAAAAAAATCTCTAATAAAGGGAACTATATGAACAAGTATAAAAACAGGTGATAAGGGATTCTTGTTTGATCAATCTAATGGTTTCTCTTTCCTGTTGTTTAACAAAAAATATACGAGGACATCAAAATCTTCATGGAAAAATGGAATTAAAAGACAATGAAAAAGAAAAAAGACAATGGAATTTTTCCATAAACTTTTTGAAGTCCCCTCATATGAAGGTAAATTAAAAAATACTGCTAGAAAATCACAGGAAAATTTATTAAACAAACATATCAAAATGTAAAGCTATTGTTTTTCAACATTGTTGTTGTTGCTGTTGTAATGTGCCGTGGAGTCGGTTCCGACTCATAGTGACCCTGTACAGGGTTTCCGAGGCTGTAAATCTTTATGGGAGCAGAAAGCCTCATCTTTCTCCCACGGAACAGCTTGTAGTTTCAAACTAATGACCTTGAGGTTCACAGCCTGATTTGTAACCACTACGCTACCAAAGCTCCTTGTTTTTCAACATATCCTCCAGTTATGTGGTGTTGCCATCTCTCTACCGCCCCCACCCTAAATTCTGTGCACTTCAATTTATATCACATCGAAAAGATAGTTGTTAGTGAATAATTGTTATCAGGACTGACTGTGAGGGTTGGAAATGTAAAGGTGGACGTTTTATAGCAAGGAAGGGAGTGATTGCCTTTTCAGTCTAGGAGCAGAGGTCCCTAGGACCATCAAGGGAGAAGAGCAGAGAGTGGGACCCTACCCAGAGAAGCAGTGATGCCTGAAATGGAGCCAGAGATGATGATGTGGAGCGATGGAGCAACTGGAGACTCTAGACCCAGAGAGGGAGAGCGACTGTGTGCTGAAGACCTGAGGGGCACGAGGAAGGATTGCATGGAGGGGATTGTAACCATGGCAATGAGAGACAATATACGATAGAATGAATGTAAAACTAATGTTCTCCCATGTATACTATCACATAATTCACAATAAATCATTTAAGAAAAAAAAAAAGATAGTTGGAACATCCTTGAGAGACTCAAATTGTGTTTCTTTTCAATGTTCTTTGAGTTTAGGGAACAAAAAGAAGGGACAGTGTTGTAGGGTGGATGGGGTAAGGTTTCCCAACAAGACTCACAGGCCAGCCCTTGCTACCCTGGAAGAGCGATCGTTGTTTGAGGCTGAGTGCTCTAGAGAAACAAAACAGTGGAGCTCATGTGTACATAAATAGAGGTTTGTATCAAGGAAAAGGCTGACACAGTTGTACAGGTAAACAAGTTCCAAGTCAGATGGCAGGCCAGAAACATCTGACACACATAGCTGCAGGATTCATGAACCAAGATCGGCAGTCAGATGACAGTCTGCTCACCCCCTAGGATTGGCAGGCAATAGAGCAGGCCACTGGTTCAAGTCCTAAGAACCAGAGGTCAGATGAGGAGCCACACTCAGGATTCAGATGAGACAAAAAAGCAAGCAAGCTCTGCCGAATGTTTAATATATTTGAAGCAAGCCACATTCCTGAGGAAAGTTCCTTTCGATTGGTTAGCTGCTCATAGCTGATCTCATCATTGATGTGATTACATGATATCAGATTTCATCATGGGAATTATCATTACATCTTAACTGCTGACACAAAACTGTAACTCAATCCACCCTTGTCAACTTGACACATGTACACATCTTGGTGGTGGTGGTGGTGGTGATGTGCGGTGGAGTCGGTTCCAACTCATAGCCATCCTGTACAGGGTTTCCGAGGCTGTAAAACTTTATGGGAGCAGAAAACCTCATCTTTCTCCAGAGGAACAGTTGGTAGTTTCGAACTGCTGACCCTGAGGTTAGTAGCCTGATTCATTACCACTACACTACCAGAGCTCCTTGCATATATAGAAGGAAAAAAGTCTAACGACTGTAGTCCTCATTTCTACAATTGTTCCTGTGACTGTAACAGATATGTAAACTACCTTCTTTGCCCATTTTGTATTCCTTTTCCCTTAGCAAACATCAGTTGATGGGGTGGCCCAAACTTTCATTCCTGGGACATTTGTAATCATGTCAGAATTGTGTTGCTGTAGTTTTGTTGTTAAGAGCCATCAAGTTGGTTCTGACTCATTGCAACCTAGTGTAGGTTATCAATGTTTGTGAGAGCAGAAAGTCTCATCCTTTCACCCTCAGAGTGACTGGCGGTTTTGAGCTGCCAACCCTGTGGTTATTCTATAAAACCACCATGCTCCCTGCGGCAGTTTACCACTGACTTTCATCAGAGTGTAATAGTACTAGAGACATCCTAAGGAATCTCCTGGATTCCAGACATACTCTTTTTTTAATGCCATTATGCAGTATCGTGGTGGCGCTGTAGAATAAGCACTGGACTGCTAAGCGCAAGATCAGGATTCAAGCCCACCAGCCACCCCACAAACGAAAGACCAGGCTTTCTGCTCCCACAAAGACACACTGCCTTGGAAACCCACTGAGTGGGAATCAACTCAAATGCAATTAAGAACAACCACAAAATGTTGTATTAATCTGATTACCCCTTGATAATCAATAATCAACAACCCAATACAGTAACTCCCTTCTTAGCAGGTGTCCAAAGTGCCCAGGGGGCATTCTTAACTTCCAGTTCAATGGAATCAGTGTTGCTTCTCCGTAAACAATCACTCCTAACCACTTACAACCCCATGGGTCATCTCTCTCTCTCTCTTTATAAAGCTTGAGTACTACTTCTTTCCATTGCTAGCTAACCCCCACTCTGAGGACTATTCTAGGGTTGAAGACAGACAGCTATCCATTTCTTGTGAAGGTCACCAATGACCACCATAGGGAAAAGCTACAGTGCTTGTTGAAGACAACATGTCCTGAACAGCACGACGTGACAGAGAGGTTCCTGAAATTCCTCGGGTCCCTACCCTATGCCAAAGAACCCTATAAATTCTCCCTCCTCTTGCCCCTCGGGTTAGCAGATCCGGGAGATTCCCGCTCCTCTGTGCTCATGTGCGTCCATACCCAGTAGACGCTTTGCTCTCTGCTCGCAGTCCTGTCTGCTCTGACATTGACTGTGTTAGCGGTAGGTGTTAAAGGCCCTGTGCTTAATAGAGCCTGCCTGGCATCGTTTGCAGTCACGTTCTGTGGTTGGAAACAAGCCTCATTAGTGCCTAGCGTCAGACCACGTGATCCAAGTGGAGGCGCAGGCAGCCTGCGGCGTCCCAGCGGAGCGGAGCAGTTCGCACAGGCGCGCTGGACCGAGCGGAGGAGCTCGCGCAGGCGCGCTGGGCCGAGCTGAGCGGTTCGCGCAGGCGCGCTGGGCGGAGTAAAGCTGACAACGGCAGGTGTCACGGCCCGCTGGCTGCACACCATGGGGTTGTCAGCTCTGCTGTTGTTGGCGTTGTGCGCTGCGAGTTCGCGGGCCCTGTACTTCCACATCGGCGAGACAGAGAAGCGCTGCTTCATCGAGGAGATCCCTGACGAGACCATGGTCATCGGTCAGGCGGGCGTGAGGGTGGCGAGGGCCCTCCCCAGCCCGGCCCCTGTCCGCAGCGCCCTTTCCTCCCAGCCCGCAGCCGGCCGCACTCAGCCCGAGGGGGGAGCTGGGCCAACCCGGTGACGTGCGGGTAGTGATGGGTCTGTGTGCCCCACAGGGAATTATCGCACCCAAATGTGGGATAAACAGAAGGAGGTTTTCCTGCCCTCGACGCCTGGCCTAGGGATGCACGTGGAGGTTAAGGACCCCGACGGGAAGGTAAGGTCCCCACCGCCCCGCCACGGGGCACAGGTGCGGACAGACATCGAAGTGGTTGTCACCGACTGCCGTGTTGCAGGTGGTGCTGTCCCGGCAGTACGGCTCCGAGGGGCGCTTCACGTTCACCTCACACACTCCTGGGGACCACCAGATCTGCCTGCACTCCAACTCCACCAAGATGACCCTCTTTGCTGGCGGCAGACTGGTAAGAGGATGTCCTCTTTGGCTGCACCCTGACACCTCTCACTTCTTTCCAGGTGCTTGATTTATGGCTGTTCCTTTTGAGTACAGTCAGTGTTGGGGAGGCAGATGATTGCCCTCTGACCCACACCCAGGAATAAGAACTCCTTACCCAGAGACTGCCTTCTAGCATGAACAAACAGTCGGAGACCTTCCCATTCAGACACCATCATGCCAAAGTGGTTCTGACTATAAGGCTTTTGGCCTCCAACCCTGTGTTACCTTTTAGCGTGTGCACCTGGACATTCAGGTTGGGGAACATGCCAACAACTACCCTGAGATTGCAGCCAAGGATAAACTGACGGAGCTGCAGCTCCGTGCCCGCCAGCTGCTTGACCAAGTGGAGCAGATCCAGAAGGAGCAGGATTACCAGCGGGTAAGGCCTCTCTCCTTGTACTTGGAGATGCAGTTGACCTTTATACCAGCCTGACCTGCTGGAACTTTCTGCGTGCTGCTTTCTTTACCTGGGAGGGCAGCTCTTTAGAGAATGGAAAGTAGGCTATGGTCCAGATAACCACTTTTATGCCCTAAAGAAATCAAAGGTCTCGATAAAGAGAAGACCATTTGTAATTGAGTAATAGTCATGACCTCACCTGTTTTCATGCTTGTGGAATGGACGGTAGCACTGGGCTTTCCTTGGGACACCCTTTGGGGAAATAATGGCACACCAGCAGTATTCCAGAAGGCATTTGGTCCTTCCGTTGAGAAGTATTCCAAGAGGAAAGAACCTCACAACAGCCCTGGGCTGTTTGCCCTGCACATTTAATCTGTACCCATTGTCCCATGCAGTATCGTGAAGAACGCTTCCGTCTGACCAGCGAGAGCACCAACCAGAGGGTCCTGTGGTGGTCCATTGCTCAGACTGTCATCCTCATTCTCACTGGCATCTGGCAGATGCGTCATCTCAAGAGTTTCTTTGAGGCCAAGAAGCTGGTGTGATGCCCTCCTTCATATGACCCTTCCCTTCACCTCAATACCTTGTTACCCAATACTTTATCCACCTGGATTTTGAGTGGGGGTAGGGGAGTGAAAAATACATAAGCCACATTGGTTCCATTGCAACAAGCATTCAAACCGGCCACTTGTTAACACTAGTTCTCCAGAACACGGGACATTGGGCAGAGCTTTCCAAATGCTGTTTTAGGATTTGTGAAGAGTCTGAACTGACCCAGGACTAAGTCTTGCTTCTTTCACGTCTGATGGTTTCCCTTTGCCCTTTCACGCCTTGAACAAATGAAAACTCTCTTCTGCTTTGTTCGTCTACTTAGGCAGTAGGTGATTAGAGGGCCCTCCCAAGAAGGGCCCTGCCTAATGAAACAACTCCCTAGTCATTTCTAGGCTCACTCAGTTGCTTTGTGAATGTAAATAAGGAGCAGGTCATTGGCCCCAGAGGATTGATTTTTTTTTCTATATATTAGAACTATTTTTTCATAAATTATATATTTTCTTCTAGTTGAAATGTTACTGCCTGTATATGAATGCGGCCCCTTCTGTGTTATGCTTACCCACACATTTTCAATAACAACCTTAGCAGCTCAGTTCAGTGGTCCATGGGCCAGAAAGCAGACATCAAAGCTGCTTGCAATGCCTTATCGGAACCAAACAGCATTTTTGGACACCAGTGATTTTTGTCTGAGAGCCTTGTCAAAGTAGGAGGGAAGGAAGGTGATGACAGGGAGTTGGGAGGAAACCACAGTCCTCACCATCTCCTCTCCCTTCCATTTTATTTAAGGTGTAAATGTTTTCTTCTCGGGGACCAGATTTGGTTCTTGATACAGATTTTTCCAGTGAAATAAAATGTGTTATAGTAGTTGTGTTTGAAATGAAATAAGAAATTGTGGGCAGATGGGGAGACAGAAGGAGAAATGGTGGAAAGGTTCCTAGCTGGGCCTGCCTGTGAGGATGAGCTGGTGTGGATGGACGGCTGGGGCTAGGCTAGATCTGAACAGGCCAGTGCAGTGGGGTGTGGTAGTGGACAGAGTGGTAGCTCAGACCAGTCACAGAGGACAACCAAGTAGACATGGCAGCAGGAATTGTGTGAGGGAATGAATTGCCTGGTTTCAGTCCCCAGGAATCACATTTGAACAGTACACTTCCCTCATGTCCTTCTTCTGTTTATAACTTCTTTAGTTACCAAGCTACATATTTTATTTAGCATTTTTATTTATTAAAAAAAAATTTCACCTACATTATACTCCCATTTTTAGTTCTCTTTATGTCCAATGTTATCCCATATATAGTATTTTCAGTCACCTCATATGCATGCGAAAGCTGGACAGTGAATAAGGAAGACGGTAGAAGAATTGATGCTTTTGAGTTATGGTGTTGGAGGAGAATATTAAAAGTGCCATGGGCTGCCAAAAGAACCATTAGATCTGTTCTGGAAGAAGTGCAGCCAGAGTGTTCCTTGGAGACCAAGACGGCCAAACTTCGTCTCTCGTACTTCGGACATACTGTCAGGAGGGACCCATCACTGGAGAAGGATATCATGTTTGGTAAGGTGGAGGGTCAGAGAAAAAGAGGAAGACCCCCAACGTGGCAAAGTGGCAGCATCAATGGGCTCAAGCGTGGCAACAGTGGTACCGTTGGCCCAGGATCAGGCAGTGTTTTGTTCTGCTGTGCATAAGGTAGTTATGAGTTGGTACTGACTCGATGGCACCTAACAACAACAACAACATAAAAACACATATGCAATTTAGTAGTATTTTTAATTAATACTTTTACAAACATTTTTTTTTAATTCTATATATTCTTCCTATTTCTAATTCTGAATGACTCTGTATACCAATCCAGTGAGGAAATGCCACAATTAGCTTATCTAAAATTCTAAATATTTAGCATCTGTTACTCTAATTCATTAATTGCTACTTTTCAATATATTAATAACCAATAGCATAATTACAGTGATTGCTAATAGTCTATTCATCTAATAAATACTAATCTTACTGAATTGTTCTATATAAATGTTAATACTATTTAAAGTGATGTTCATGTTAGAATTAACAGGGAAAACAGATAACCCTTTGAAATACCTCCGTGTGAGCCTCTGTCCTGCAGTTCTTGGGAGTATGCTACCCATTGGGAAGAGAGCGGACATTTCTGCTCTGTGGCTGCTCCTAGAAACCTCACAATCAAAGCAGAGAGTAAACCCTGGCTTGTGGCAGGACAAGAGATGACAGATAAGGGCTGGGGTAGGCTTAGGCTGGTCTAACAGCAAAAAATGGAATGCATCTCAACTATGCCAGTTGGTCAGTCTGTGATGGGTTTCTCCAGCTGCTAATTTTTGATAGGCAGTGGGATGGAGTCAGTACAGACGAATGCATCTCACCTTGGCACTGATAGGGAATGGTCGGAGGATGGGTCAGTGTTAGCTGGTGGCTGTGGGTCATAATTACAGACAGACTGAGCCCTTAAAAGTGTATTATTTTTTAAGACAGCAGGTAGATTACACCCAGGAAATTCTGAGTCCCCCCCTTCCCCTGCATGCTTGTGCCTGACTGCTAACCAAAAGATCAGTGGTTCAAACCCATCCAGAACAGAAGAAACGGCCTGTTAATTTGCTTTGATTAAGGTCACAGCCAAGTAAACCCTATAGTTCATAACTAATACCAACAATGGGACCCTTAGTTCTTCCATGAAATTCTTGCTTTCTTAGGCAATACAACAGCAGACAGCCCCTTCTTCCTGTACTACAGACAGACAGAAGGGGTCAGGGAGAGGGCTGCATTCTTGAAATCCTTTACCATCACTGGACTTGTAGTAGTACCCAAGCCTGACTTTACTGTTTTTAGTCCCCAGCGTGACTGACCTTCCTGTAGAACCTGAGCCATTTTCTTATCCTCAGCTGAACAACAGCCTGTCAAACCTGTGGTACTTACGTGGAGCACTTGTCAGACCAGACAGGATTGCCTGGGAAACTTCTCAGCAGATTCCTGGACAACACTCAAGTCCAATTTAATTGAATAAATGTATTCATGGCTACCATAAGGAAATTAAGGAGCTCTGGTAGCGTAGTATTTATGAGTTGGGCTGCTAATCTCAAGGTCAGCAGTTTGAAACTACCAGCTGTTTCGCAGTAGAAAGATGAGATTTTCTGCTCCTGTAAAGATTTACAGCCTTGGAAACCCTATACAGGCTCACTAGAAGTCGGAACTGACTCCACGGTATATCACCACTACCACCATAAGGAAGTTGGACAATGCATAAGGAAGAATTGATGTATTTGATTTATGGTGTTGGAGAAGAATATTAAAGGTAATGTGAAATGCTGGAACAAACAAATCTGTTGGAAGAAGTACAACCAGAATGCTCCTTAGAAGCTAGGAGGTGAAATTTCGTCTCTCACACTCTGGACATATAAGTAGGGTCAATCCTTGGATAAGAATATCATGCTTAGTAGAGTGGAGACCCCCAATGAGATGGATTGGCACAATGACAGCAACAATGGCCTGAAGTGTAGCAGCGATTGTGAGGGCAGTGCGGGACCGGGCAGTACTTCGTTCTGTTGTGCATAGGATCATAACTTAACAACCACATTCTGACCAAACCAAAGCGCCTGCTCTTTGGAACCCCAGAACATGTTACCTAACTTGGTAAGGGAGAAGTAAGGTGCAGATGAGAGTAAGGTAGTTAATCATCGGGCCAGACCATCTCATCCCCATTCAGCTAGGGGCTGGTTGACTATATCCCATTCAGTTGGGTCAACTCATCCCTGCCTCCATGGGCCCCAGCAGTCTAAATTAGATTACTCTTGCTGTTAAGTGCCAGTTGGTTCTGACTCTTAGCGACCCTGTATAGGGTTTTCAAGGATCAGCTGCTGAGTTTGAACCACCAACCTTATGGTTCCAACTGACTTTGCAGTCCAGTGCTTGATGCCACAGAGCTACACCAGGACTCCAAATTGCATTGTTGTTGTTGTTAAGTGCCATAGAGACAGTTCCTACTCATAGAGACCCTGTATAGGGTTTCTGAGGAGCAGCTGGTGAGCTTGAACCACTGACCTTGTGGTTCAAACTGACTTTGCAGTCCAGCACATTAACTCACGGCCCCACACCAGGACTCTAAAAATGGATTGTTGTTGTTGGTAAGTGCCGTTGAGTGGATTCCAACCCATAGTGACCCCGTATAGGGTTTCCAAGGAGCAGCTGGTGAGCTTGAACCACCAACCTTGCAGTTCAAACTGACTTTGCAACCTGACACATTAGCCCATGGCCTCACACCATGACTCCCTAAAAATGGATGTTGTTGTTAAGTGACATTAATTCTGTTCCTA